TGCTGGAATAGATCTGTGAAGAGCAGAATTATTTGGCCACAAAGGAAGGGCTGACAGGAACTGACACTGAGCACTCGCGGTTTTTTTTCTAGCATACACAGTAACTGAAGATCTGTTGAGAAATTTCGAAGTGTTTCTGCCCTGATACAGTGGTACAACAGGATGATCTCTCAGTGCCAGTTAAGAGTGGTGCGTGAAACCTGTTGTGTGACCCAAAGCAGCAGCTAAGGTATTTTTTCTTTCTTTCTTTTTGTTGTTGTTGTCATTTTGAAGCAGTGCCAGTCTTTTTGCTGTGTATCTAGTATACTGGAATGTAGCTTCTGCTTCTGCTTCCTTTTCGCTTCAGGCAGCAGAAATTGACTGTGCAGCATCAGGGCAAAGAGCTAGTTGATTTAATATTTAATATAGGGATTATTGTTTAATTAATAATGCCTACTCCATTACATCCTTACCTTTACTTTGCTGTTTTCAGTAGTCCCATACTGTGTTTGGAAACTAAGTTTGCTACATGACAATATGCTTGACTATCTGATTTGTCTGACCAGGGCATCAAGTCTCACATTGACAACATATCATGTCATGTTCAGATATAAAATAACGCACGTTTTCATACAATTTGAAGCCTATATTTTCTATGTCCTTTGGACACAGTAATTTTGAATTACTGTTAAGTATTGCATTTTGGTAGGGATGTGCATTGTTATCTAACAGCTTTACATGGATTTTGAAATTTAGTTTTTTGAGTTTTCCAGGTACTTTATTGCCTCTTTTAAATAGGTTAATGACAATAAGAGTCCAGTGACCCTTCCTTCCTTAGTCTTTGTTATGACTTTTAATTTTTAAACAAATTTGTCTACCATCTACATTTTGAATTGTAACAATTTTGAAAGGCTATTACCAAACAATTTTTGAATGTGTGACAACTTAACCTTGAATCACAATGTTTTTCCCTAATAGAAAAGTTTGCATTTTCTCTGAATATTTAAAAAAAAAATCTTTTGCTTTCAGATGTATGGAATTTTGAGTCCAAACAATTTGTTACTGCAAAGGCTGGTCATAAGGAGAGGCCAAAAGTAGGCTTTATGATGAAAGCTGGTTAAAACTTTTCAGGAAAAAACAGTATCCTCTCCACAATAAGCCTAATTTGTCATACCGTAGTGGTAATCTATGCCATTTTAAAGACTCAATGTATTTGTTTTATTGTATCAATATTTCAGCACGTGTGTGAAATTTCATGGAAATCTTGCCTTTGCTACAAAGGGAAATGCTGAGGGTAGCTCAGCTTGCTGGCTAGAGTCAGGGATCTTGTGGTCAGAAACTAGGGACAGGACACATGCCAGAGGTCCATAATCAGGAATTCCAAATCCAGAAGCAAGGATAAGAGATTGATCCCATATTCCAGGCTGAGATCATGTGTCCAAGGTCTACGGTTCAGAATCAAGCCAAAAAAGTCAGATGCTAGAGACCAAAAACTAGCAGAAAATCCAATGTTAGGAACTGGAGCCTGGCTGGAAGTAGTAACTGGGAATCATGAAGCAAGGGCTGGGAACCAGGAATTAGGATAGGGGCAGGAAAGAAAGGGAGAAAGTGTGTGCAGGTTAGGAGCTGCTTATGGACAGAAATCCCAGTATATTGTGCAGATCAGGTTCTAGGGCAGTTCCTTCAATGAGGAGCTGGAGCCAGTTAAGTGGGTTAGCTAAGGCCATCTTGGAACCCACCAGGAACTGCTTAGTAGGGCAGCGTGAAGCTTCGGGTGCTGATTCGATTCGGGGGAGATTTGGAGGCCGAATCTCTGAATTGAATCAGGAGACCAATTAAAAGGTCTGAATTGATTCAAAGCTCTCCAAATCCAATTGGAAAAGATTTGGAGAGCTTTGGTGATTCAAGCAGTCCCCACTGGCTACAGCAGAGAGCTGGACCTGGACTCCATGCTGGTAAGTAGGGGGCAGGGGAGGGGGGAAGAGTGGGGAGGAGCCATGGGGGGACCCCTGCCAGGCCCCATCCCCTGCCTGCTCCCCAGCCCCCCTGAGTGCCTCCAACCCCCGCCCACTCTCCCAGACCCCCCCCCCACATGGTTGCCTCACCCAGCCCCAGTTTATGGTTCTTTAAATAAAAGCACCCATTCACCAGCTGATGCCAGGTGGGGAGAGCAATCCCTGCTGCTCCCCAATGCACCACACCATGTGGGGAGCTCTTCCATGAGCCCCCAACCCCCACCCACTCTCCCAGCTGCCCCATGGATGCCCTGCCCACCCCAGCTCCTGGCCCTTAAAAAAAAAACAAGCCCCACACTCACTGGATGCTGCAGTGGCCTCAGGGCTTCTGGGGACTCATGGAAGAAACCCCCACATGGTGTGGGGCAGTGGGGGGACAGTGGGGATTGCCCTCCTGTTTGGCAGGAGCCGATGAGTTGGGGCTTTTTAAAATTTGTTTTAAAGGGCCAGTAGCTGGGGCAGGCAGGGCAGCCATGGGAGGGGCTGGGAGAGTGGGAGAGGTCAGGGGGCTCATGACAGAACCCCCCATGCAGTGTGGGGCAGCAGGGGGCAGTGGGAATCGCCCCCCCACCTAGCAGCAGCTGGTGAGTATAGCCTAGCTAATCATCCTCAATCTGTATTTTTCCTTGTTGAATTTCATCTGATTAACTGCAGACCATTTTTCAGTCTATCCACCCCGCTACCCCATCCAATTTAAAATGATGGCAAAGACTTCTTTCCCAAGCAGATAAGTGGGAGGGTAGGTGGTGGGTGGCAATGAGAAATACACGTAGATCCTAGTTATATGGGGAAGGGGAGGAGAAAAGAGGAATAAAGAGAGTACAGAAACACTGCTAGGGTGAGATTGAGACATAATCAGGGATCCAGGTTTCCTGTTTCCCACAGAAAAATGGGGAAAAACATGGAGTTTCCCTTTCAACCAAGAAAAATGTGGATTTTTCATTTTAACAGAGAAACATGCAGATTTTCCACTTTTGCAAAGAGCCTCTCTGCAGGCTGGCAAAGTTCCAAGTGTGCAAGGGACTGGTTGGGGGGAGTGGGAGAATGGTGGTCAGGTAGGGAGTGCCAAGTTCATGTGCATGCTTAGACAGGCTCATGGCCACCAGACAGTCTGGAGAGCAGCTCCTGCAGGTAAGTCTGGTAGGAGCTGGGGGGGGGGGGGGGGGGGGAGGGGGGGGTTGAGCACCCCATAGAGAGGGAGGGAGAGAGTTGGGCAGGGCTAGGGCTGGGGGTGCTACCCAGTCCGGGCAGTGCATGGGGCTTGGGGCCTGGGACTGGAATGCGTGGCTGTAGGGCCCTGGTGGGGAGCAGGATGGAGCTGTGGCAGCTCATCCAAGAGGTGGGGGATAGGGCTGGTTCTCCACCGCTACATGCAGTCCTGGGGGGAGGGAGTATGGGCGGCATGTGTCTCCCAGATTTGTACATGGGGTGGGGGTGGACTGACCACTGTGTGTTTAGGTTTCCTACCCTGTTGCCCTCTCCATGTGACCTCCATAGCCCTGTGGGAGGGACCTGGTGTGGCAGGGCAGAGCGGAGCCAGGCAGGGAAGCTCCTTGCCACTGCAAGCCCCACACTGCCCTGGAGAGGTCCTTCCCACCCAACCAGCAGCAATGGGGGTGGCATTGAGAAGTTGTGCCCCTGGATGCTGCTGGGTGGGTAGGAGGCACTTCAGCATGGTGGCACAGAGCTCCCACTGGTGACAACAAGCTTCCCACCTAGCCCTGTTCTGCCCTGTCATGCCAGGTCCTACTCACTGGGCTGTGGAGACCCTGGGGGAAAGGCAGCAGGGCGGGGAGCCCAAACCTGCAGTGGACGGCCTACCCCCACCCCCTCCAAAGGTCTCTGCTTAGACCATGCAGCACATGGGGGAGGGGGAGCTGGGCTCCGTGCTCCACTCTGCCACAGAAGCTGCCACCTCCCATGGGCAGCAGCCAGGTTTGGGTGCTGCTGTGGAGGGTGGGGGGCTGCAGATATGGATTCCTAGCCCTGTAGCCCTGGCAGCTGGGGCCCCCTCTGGCAGGGCTGGAGGGAGTTGGGGGACTGTGGATAGGAAGTGAGGACTGGCAGGGCTGGGGGGCTATGACTTGGAAGTGAGGGGCCTGGACCTGCGTCCTGGTAAACAAAGGGAGGAGGGAGAGCTCTGATTTTCCATGATAAAAAGCCCAAAATCAAATGCCAAAATTTATAGATATTTAGAATATATTTTATTATGGTGATTGAGGCACTAGTAAGCTTCCAAACTGCTTTTAAATGGTAAATATATCAATAAAACATTGTGTTCAATTGATGCCTATCTTTATAGTGGCATTTCATTTTAATCACAGATTTTGGGTTTTTTAATTAGAGAATTTGTGACTTTTTAAACAGAGGAAAACAGGATCTCTGGACATAATTATATGAGGAGAGAGCAGGGATAAGTGATGCACAGCTTTCCTGAACTAGTGGGGGAAGGGGAGAGGCAGCCTGTGAAAGGAATAGGAGAATTTAAAGAGCCCTACGGTGCACATTTGTTGTTCTGTTGTATTTGGCTGCTCGGAGTATACTCAGCCTCTTTTGGTTGAACATTATTTATTCTCAAAGCATATTGGTTTGTGTTTCAGTAAAGCAGCTGTAATTAAGTACTAGAAAGAGGAAATTCGGGTCTGATCAAAGGAGCTATATTTCCCCAATTTTTACGGGTGGGGCCAAATTCCCCCAGCAGACAGCCTCACCAGTTTCAATTGTGGTAAACTGGGGGCAATTTGCCCCATGCTGTGTGGTTTGACTCAATATTTTGTGGGTAGTCATAAAGCTGTTGTGATATAATACACAAATTCTAAAAGTAAGGGAATGTTAAGAAGCTGACATTTCTGAACTTGAAGAGGGAAGTGAGAGTTAATATTTCTGCTCTTGTCTGGGAGCAGCTGTTGGCACTCACATTTTTCAGACATAGAGAATCTTTGAGTAGAGTTTATTAAGGCATTTGTGACTTCATGACATTCTGACATTTCTACAAGTGAGTGGGAGGACATGTTGCCAGACAAGTAAGCCAATGTCAGTGTGCGGAGAGCTGTAAGATTAGATTTGGGACAACAAAGAATATCAAGAATCCACAGTTCAAGGAAAGATTCTCTAGGAGCTCAAGTCCTCAAGAATTATTACATTTCTCTGCAGCATATGGATGGATGTAGTTAAAGCTCTTAAGTAAAGTTAGCATCTCTTGGAGAGGCTTACATTTAAGATCTGCACTTGACGGACAATCTTCTCTCTCTGTAGCAAGACAAGAGTATTGTAGCCAGCTTTTTTTGGTGGTGTCTTTTCTTGGACTACTGTACAGGTACCTGACATCTCACCAAAACTGGTAAGCGGTCCTCTGCCCAAAATAATTGCCCGCCCCTACTTTATGCGGTAGACTCATTCCTGAAAAACTATGCATAACTCAGATTTGCATAGGGGGAACCCACTTTACAAGGTAGCAACTAGGGATAGGTTCAAAGATCTTGACTGCATTGGAAGCAGGTAATTTTGCTGGGGCCAGGGAGGCTTCCTGGAGTGGACTGGGCTGGGCTGTGCTCAGGGTGGGTGATGGCTGTGCTAGGGTGGGGCGAGGGCTGCAGACACCCCACAATTTGCCAGAGACCCCCCTTAGCCCCCCACCCAGTGCTGCTGCTGCCCGCCCAAAGTGAAGTCTGGTCCAGCCCCCCTCCCCCCACCAGGAAGAGGCCAGCCCTAGGGGTTGGGGTGAGTGGGACCTTGATCTGCCCCCCTGCTGATGGTGAGGGAGAGAGTAGGGCTGGGGCTGGGACAGAGGTAGGTGCTGCACAGCTGGGGCAGGGCGCGGGACGAGGGGTGTGGCTCCTACTACTATGGGTTGTCACTGTGGGCTGGGGCCATGGGTTGCACTGCGCTCCTCCTGGTAGGGGGGTTGGGCCATGCTGCACTTGGGGTGGGCAGCAGCAGCACTGGGAGAGAGGGTCAGGAGGGCTATGGCAAATTTTGGAGAGGCTGCAGCCCCGCCCCCCACCATAGCCTCCCTCCCAGAGCCCCGAGTGCAGCCCAGACCAGCCTCTACTGGGAAGAGTCTGGCATGGCCCCTGGACCCAGCCCACAGTGGCAGTCCATAGCAGCAGGAGTTGTAGCCCTGTCCCGTGCCCAACAGCTGGGGTGGGCAGTTGTGGCACTGAGCAGAGGCTACAGAGGAGCTGAAGCCACCCCAAAATTCACTGTAGCCCCCCTGGTCCCCCTCCCAGCACTGCCTCTGCCAGCTCCAAGTGCAGTGCACCCAACCCCTGCTGGGAAGAGCCCAGTTCCAGGGGCTTGGGTGAGTGAGGCCTTGATCTACCCCTTTGCTGGTAGTGAAGGAGGGACTGGGGCTGGGGCCTGGCCATGGCCCTTTCCCCTCCCTCCACAGACTTACATGCTGCTGATCACATAAGAGTGAATTTACTTTGCATATAATGAATTTTGGGTATAAAAAGGGTCATCGCATAAGAGCAAAGTCACATATAAACAACACGCATAAAGCAAGGGAAACCTGTGTTTGGATTGTTGAGGGACAGGGTGGGACACACGTGACGGTTGAAAAGTGCCTCTGGTTAGGAAGTGGTTCCAATGGTGTGAAGCACTGTGACTGGCATCAGGCAGTAAGACTTGGTACCCAGTCCAGCATTCCTTGCAGTGAGCAAGTGGGGATGGGGGGCAGAGAGGGAAATAATATTTGCACCTATGCTTTGGAGGTCCCATAGTGTCAAAGTATTCATGTGACAGAGGCACTTGGGGCTGTAGGCATGTCACAGAAAAGGGTTCTGCTCATACATTTTACCCATTCAGAGCATTTGGGCCATGTGAAGGTTCCTTTCTTTAAGGACATCAGAGATTTTTCTCTCCCTTTAGCTGCTAACCCCCGACAGAAATAGCAGTAGGGGCTTCCCAATGGTTAGTCATTGGGAAACTGAAACCGAATGACTGAAGTCACTGAAAACAACCTCAAGAGGTAATCTAGGGGACCCTCTTTCTCACAGAGTTTGTCATAGGAAATGTATAAATTGTTATTGCCTTTTTGTAGTGGCAGCTGTTAAAAAAGTGAATATTGCTGAGCAGTTGCTAAAATATGTTTGAGAGTTGAAAAACCTAATCTCTTTAAAAGGGCAAAGATGTGGATGATTACAGCTGAAAAATGCACATATATCCAGGGGGTACAGTATTGGCAAAGGGAACATAAAAGGTTGTAAACTTCTTTTACCCATCATGCTGTTTGACAAAACATAGCTCTCACACATTTTTCTCAGAGCTCAAAAATATCAATGTTCTAAATACTATAATAGTAACAGATCAAATTATTTTCTCCCAAAGCTCCCTGCTCTGGCTATTAGGCTGCAAGACAGATGTTGTTCAAGATGAAGCATTATATTTCATTTTCCAGAAAACAACATCACTATAAAACCTGATCCTCCCTCTTGCCCAGTCTTCCCTCACTCCACACCCTTAAGTATGTCTGTTTACTTGAACACTGGAATCCAGACTGAGGTGGAAGGTCTCACAATTCATAAAGGTGCCATGCCTAGTGGGTGGAGCTTGAAGTGAGGATCAGTGGTGTTTCAGGGATGAACCATGTGTTGGGAGCAACCAAGGGCAACCCAAATTCCAAATGGAGGGGTGGAGGCCAAAACCCAGTGTCTGAATTTGAACTGGAGGTCTAACCAGGGATCAGTCAAGGTCAAGTCTGAGAGCCAGGGGAGTTACTGGAACAGGAGCTGTGTAAGGACTAGAGATCAGAAGGTTGTGCAGGCAGGCTTAAGTGCTAGGGAGTGTCCTTAAAGCAGACCTGGAACAAATTTCAGTGAAGTGGGTAGGTCTGGCACTGGTTGGTGTATTAGATTCAGTTTCTCTGGCTGCAGGGCAGAAGTGTATGTAGTCTTGTCCCTGCAGGGTATGGATCAGCTGGACCTGGTTAGTTCATTGGGTTCAATTGACTTAGCTTAGTCCTGGAAGAAGTAGGGTTGCCAACTGTCCATAAACTTATGGATAGTCTGTCAAGAAAAAGGCTCAAAACATCCATAAAGTCTGAAAAAAATGTTAGTAAAAACCTAAGAAACCATGAGCTTGATTAAAGATCCATTATCAGAATGAGGTTGGATCTGTTACTGGACTGAGACAGAGAAGAGCAGTACTACGTTGTGTGTGAGTGGGAGTGCAGCTGAGCACCCTGCAGGGAGCTCTCTGCCAGGGCTTTGTGGCCCATGGGATTCTCTGTATCCCCCTTGCCTACTCCTTCAACCACATGCTGCTGCTGCATCCTGTCAGCCATTACTTGCCTGTAATGGCTACTTGCATCAAAGGGCTCTGCTGCCCTAGGCAGCCTGAGGTAACAAGCAGGACAGGGAAGGGGACAGCATGGATAAGACAGAGCTGTGCAGCCAGGAGGTGGGGGGGAAGAGGTGATCGGTGGTAGTCCATGGGAGGATGGGGAAAACAGGGCCTGTTGAGATAAGATGGTGGGGTTGGGCTGGGGTGGGGTGCAGTTGCAAGTCTAAGTGTGGGGAGATAAGTAGGGGACTCCTGGGGTGGGAGCAGCATTGTGTAAAGCCATTGCTGCGATCAAGTAAGCTTTTTTGTCAACTCACCATCACTTGCATTAGTGTCATGTTTTTAAAAATGCATCTGGGAAAATAATAAGTGATAATCTTAAAAGTGCAGATCAGTCTATTGCTAAGAAAGCAAAAGTAAAAAAAAAACTACATACATTCCAGTCTACTTGGACTACAGATAGTGAATTCAAAGACTGGATGTGTGAAGACAAGGAAAGCAAGCACAATACTAAATACAGCTGACGTAGAATTCCTACAGTTGAACCTTGTCTGCCTATGTCCTTAGACCAACATAGCTACAACCTACACCCCTACAGTTGAATCTAGCACTTGTTACTGCCAGCCAGGGGCTGACAGAAGGGTTACACTTACATTATATAAAACATATCAGTAAAAAAAGCTTAATTGTCAGTAAAAAGCTTGCAGATTGTCAGTAAAAAAAATATTCTTGAGCTGGCCACCCTGGATAGAAGGGGGAATGATAACTTACAAGCAAGTAAATCAGCATCTTAATCCACATAACACCTGCACAAAGAACACTGAATACTTTTGGGGTTCTTCACAGATACAGCAGCATACCAGAGTCCATGAACATCAGTCTAGCTCTCCAACATGAAAAAAGGATTTTTTTTTCTACTGTTGTTGTTACCTCCCAGAATATTTTCAGGTTTAGTGTTATTAAAGGTGTTCTGCATTGGAGTCATAATTGGAGTCACATTGGAGCAGTGTTGCTATAGCTATGCTGTAGCTAGTTTAAGCCTAACTTGCTAATGACTACAAAACCAGCAGTCATACCTCTGAATTACAAAGGATGTGAGAGTCACTTTTAATCATATCTCGTGTTGCATCGCTTTCCTTTAAAAGGCCAAATTATTCATCTATTTGGAATTTGTACCATGTCAGGGTCTCGAGGACTTCACGCTGCCCGTAGGATGCCCTCCCTTTTATTTCTTCTGCCATGCCTTGATGTTTCTTATGGTTCTAAAAGGGAGGCTGCCCTTGGGCCTTCACATGGCCACAGCTCAGCTAAACCCCTGCTAGGGTTCCCCAGCACCCTACTGGATCTCAGTATTCCTCAGGCCCCTTGCTGGGTCCCGCTCTATAGCTGTGCCATCGCAGGGAACCTCAAGCCTTAAGGGCTAATTGTGTGGCTCTAATCTTCCCCTACACCATGCCCCAAGTCTTGCAGGTATTATTGTAATGTTGTTCTCTTGTTGGAGCTTTGGCTTCCTCAGTCTCCACCCCTTTACTCTTAGCTAGGCCTTCTAGCCTAGGCCCGCTGTATCAGACCTGGCTTTGAGGCACTAGCTCTGGTCTAGCCCTCCCAGGCACTGTGCCCCTGACCCCTGTCTGCCTGGCCTCTGTCTGGCTGCACCCCTCTTGAGCACCAGGTCCCTGGCTCCTCTCTGGCTCTGTGGCCTCACTCTATACCAGCTCTGGACTCTAGTTACTTGAGCCGAGCCTGGCAGGGCTCAAAACAATTGCATGCCCCTTGGGCAGCATTCCCTCTAAGTTGGCGTGCTTGGCAGTGTGGCATGAGTGAGCCTATGTGGCTGCGCATACCGTGCAGCTTAGAGGGAAAGCCACCCCTAGGCACTAATCGGACCTCCATATATCTCCCCTACAATCCCAACCCAAACCACTGGTATACCTATAACATAAACCTAAGTCCCTGGGCTATTAGAGAAACACAAAGCAGAAACAGCCTTCTGCCCCTTTAAGAAGGAAAGCTATCTTTATCTCCCATATATATGCTGCCGTATCTTCTAGCCCTGGGCTCCTTGTGAGCTCCCCGAGCCTCACTGTTCCCATGGACAGCATAGCAGTTGGCCCGCTACCAGTTCCCTGGTAGCTCTTCTGGGCAGAAGCTCCTTTTCTTGCAGCTGCTAGGGAAATACTAGCTTGCCAGCTCAAACTCTGGGCTTAAATCTTCCCAGGGCTCTGCCCCACTCCCATCAGCAGTTTTCCTGGGTTGCCTGCAAGTGCCAATTGGCCTAATTGACCTGTTGGCCCTGCAGCTACTACACCCTACCTAGCCTGCAGTCCTCCTTCACTGGGCTGCTTCTTCTCTTAAAGGAACGGGGAGCCTCAGGCTCTCTGCTGTAGACTTGCATACTAATACAGTATAGTAACATACAGATATTAATATCTGCAGCAGATGAGATGGAAATTGGGGAGTGGAAATGGGGAGTACCAGATGGAGCAAGGGAATTTCTACCCTTAACTAAATCAAGAATTGATGTCCCAATCCTACACTGTGAGGCTTGCTCTTTGTGAAGGAAAGGAAAATAAAAGTCAGACAGTATGTATATAATTTGTATATAGAAAATGACAAAGGCACTTCTTTTGCACTGTGAAGCATATCCATGGAAAACTGTGTGTGTGTCTGCGTGAGAAAAACTGTGGTTTGACCTTATATGGCAAATCTGGCTTTCATTCTATGTGACAGTTCCCTTGTCCCTGGGCACACTAGAACGGGAAAGTAGAGTCTCTTAGCTTGCATGTTTCCATGAGAATAACTTCTTTGCCCTTTGTGGAAACATTTGAGACATGTGATTTATTGTGAAGATTGAGCAGAGTAACCAGCTGAGCCCCGTTCAGCAGCAGGAGTCTGCAAAAAGTCCCCCTTTGTATTTATGCTGTTACTATAAAGTAATTGGAGGCTATCACACTTGGTTTACCACCAGTTATGGGTAACAGGGTAATACCCTGCCCCAGGAAGGGGGTAGTCAGAGCCAGTAGGAGGAGCTGAGGGGTGGAACCAGTCACAGAGCCAGGAAACAAGGAAGGTCAGGAAGCAGGAAGGCAGAATCCAAGATGGTAATGTGGAGCATGCTGGCATGAGAGTGTGGGGGAAGAACAAAGGGAGGTGTTGGAGCAACAGAAAGCCAACTTTTAAAACTATATGCAGCAATTCAGATGCAAGGAGAGACAGGCTAAGAAGCTGTAGAGACCAGAACAGAAGCGAAACCTTTACTGATGACATTCACTGCTCTGAAGCAACATGTCTCTGGGAGCTTTTGCCTGCATTTATTATGAGACGTCTGCATTGGTTACATATGACAAATGGTGTGAAAGGCATATAGCCACTCTTTCTCTGAACTTCCTTCCTTTTGCCAGGTTAGGTCAGCTCACAACTTACAGGACAGTTACCTGGGTAGGATGCCATAGCATGTTTCCCCCAGGGAAAATTTTGGCTCTTTCTGCTTCTGTATCTGATATTCTCAGAAACAACTGGAGATTGCCTCTGAGTACATCTAATGTTCTTTCCCAAGATGTTGTAATTCACTTGTTTTTGCAGTAATTGTAGCCAGCTGATGTAAGGGGATGGAATGTATCTAGAGATCGGAAGGAGGTGTAAGAAAGACTGGATGATTTCAGTTCTGATATGAGCTCTTAACTTCTCTGTTTTATTCTCCCATCCATAAAATGGATCTCATACAGCCCTATTATAGGGGTGTGAAGTCTTAATACAATGGTAGTAAAATGCTTTATGGTGTTTCACTTAACTCAGTGTAGATAATTACCCCTTCAGAGGGCTCATGGGCATCAGCAATAACACTGAAAGCAACCACAGCTCTCTATCTGTTACATATTGTCCTGAGCAGCAGCTTCAATTTTCATAGTTTGGTTCCCTCTGACTTCATTACCTATGAAACCCATTGCTTCCTTGAAGGAGTTGCCTTCTGACTGTCAGATCCTGTTTTTAATGTTTCTGAAATGTTTCTAGTAAAACTACAACACACAGACAGGTGTTATTAGAGGCTTCTCTTGAGATTCAGGGCCAAGCTCAAAGCCATGACTGCAAGAAGTCTAAGTAGGTATAGCGTGAGTAACCCAGAGCTGTTGTGGCTGCACCTTTTTTTGATCCCTCTCTGCTTTTCATGTCCATCAGTCCCATTTTTATACCATTTAACAGTCATAATTATCAGCAATCCCTCACAGCCAAGGACGATTGTCTTCCATGATTGTCTCCATGGGTCTGAAGATGGAGGACAAAGCTAATCTGGGTTTCACAGGTTCTATTGCAACTCAGGCATGTTTCCATGTGGGGTGACTGGGTCCAGATTCTTGATTTGGTCCATGACACGCTGTTTCTGCTGCTCCTGCTTTTCCATCTCCTGTTGTCGTTTCATAGTTGGTGAAAATTTGAGCCGGGGCTTTTTGCCTCAGTGCACGTGCTCAGACATGCACTTTGTTTTGGAACAAATTGTGCCACTTGGGGCAAAATAGCCCTGCCTGGCTCCTCCCGGATCTGCAGCCAGGGGGATCTAGAGCACCTGTGCTGTCCGCAGCAGTATAAAAAGCTGCCCTGTCCTAGCCCTATCCGTACAAAAAGCTGCCCTGGCAAGCAGGTCAGGGCTACTTGCTCTCAGGAGCTTCTGGGGCCTGGCTATCTGGGGATACTACCCCTTGTGCCAGCTGGACTGCTGCAGCAGCATCCCAAATCCATTTTTAAAAATACCCCAAAATCCATGTTCTTCCACAATTAAAGCAAAAGACCACTCTATACACACACACACACACACACACACACACATACATCTAGAGAAAGAGAGAGAGACAGCAATCAGTTAGGCAATGCTTTATTGGTATATTTACAATGTTAAAGCAATGTGGAAGCCTACCAGTGTCTCTATCATCATGATAAAATAAATTCTAAATACCTATATGTCTTGATGTGTACTTTTGATTTTCTTCGCACATGATGGGTCTGTGATGGGGGATGTGGTGTTTGCAGGAAGGGGGTGGGAAGGGGTGTGGGGTTAGACGGGTGTGTGTGTGTGTGTGGAGGGAGGTGGGTGGGTTGGTGGGTGGGTAGGTGTGGGAAGATTGCTGAGGGGACTGTGGATGTAGGGGACCTTGTGGGGGGGG